GGAGAAAACAGAAATGGGCAACGACCACAGGTGGAACGAGTAAGGTGAAGCATGATTAAACCAGAAGGCTTTCAAATAATGCTGCCTCAAAAACCATGAGTGAAGCAGTAAGATTAAATACCCATTTCAATAATTCATAACCCAAAAAACAAAAATTCTCCCGCAAACAAAAACAAACGTACACTCCTTTAATTTTTTTTTTTTTAAAAAAAAAAAAAAATCCCCTCAACCTCCTCCTTCCTCTCCACTTATAAAAAACCACAAAAATAACCCAAAAAATACCCATGATTATTTAAAACCCAGAATTTCTTTTTGTTCCTCTGTTTGGAAAAAAGAAATATATGGTAAGAAATCAAGGAATAATATTTTCCTTATCATCCTTACCATTATCACCTTCTTTCCATTCTCTCTCATCACGTCTACCACTTCATCCATCAATCTCACTCCCTATCCTCTGATTGCTTAGTCCGCTATTCCCTCACTTCCACCACCACCGCTGCTACCGCCGGAAACTATACACACTGAAATTGATTTTTGTCGATACTTAATTAAGAGGAAGGGGACTTCAATGGAACAATTACAAATTTAAAAAATAAAATCTTAACCCAGGTGAACTATAGGTTGCAAAAGGAATCTTAAAGTCTAATTCATTCCTAATTGATGGTAGGCTTACATGTAATAATGAATTTTATATTTACCTTGATAAAGGAAATATTTCCCCATGTAATGATTATAGTGAATTCAGAAACCCATTTCCAAAATCTAAGCAGGCAAAATCAGATGGAGATGTAGCTTCAAACAGTGATTAAGCAAGAGGGATGGCTGTTACAAGAGGAAGACGGCAGCATGAAGGAGAAGAGTGACGCATTTTTTTTAATCACAAAAAAAAAAAAAAAAAAAAAAAAAACACGTGATCTGCACACGGATTACTGTTCATAAGAGCCCCTCTCAAACTTTCGAAAAGCTAGGGATAATAGAATGTAAGGTGACTGATGAGGGAAGAATTTTTCTCAGCTGGTGACTCATTTGAAAATCACAGAAACAGGTAAAAGTAGAACTAAGGCAAAGGATCAAAGTGAAAATCTGTTAGCATAAGACAGAAATGTACACTGATAATACTTGTATGATATGTGGAGCTCAAACTGAGACACCTAGCTAGTTGTTCTTTAAAGGTGTGTTTGGATTGAAGGAAATGGAGGGAAAGGAAGGGAAGGGAAATGGAGAGATGGGGTATCTTTCATTTGGATAACAAATGAGGAAGGAAGGGATTGGAGGGGAGATAAATGGAGGGATTAAATTGTAGGAAATTGATCCCTCCAACAATGGAGAGATTTGGAAGGAAAACTCACCATTCTTCCCTCCCCTCCCTTTCTCTCCCCTCCTCTTCTCCTCCCTCCCCTCTTTTCCTTCCCCTTTCTTTATCCAAACACACTGTAAGCTTCATTACAGTAGGATTTGTTTGCAGGTCACCCTGAACTGGATGGGAGTGACAGCAGGGAACAATATTTTGCAGCAATAACTTCTTGGATAGATAGACAGAAGTTACAATGGATGATCAGCAGCTAGAAGAGAAATTTTTTATGCAGGGGTTGCTAGTCTGCTACTACTTGTATGAAAAACAGAACGCCTGGGGCAATACAAGGTCCCTAGTATAGCAGCTATAGTGAAAGAGTGCAAGCAATAAGTAAGATTAGAGCTAGGAATCTAATAGGCAAAATAGTCAGCAAGGATAATGGGAGTTGGATTAATAGTTTGTGAATGTATCTGTATAAATAAATTATCATACAGGCTACCTACTATGAGGGGAGGGGAGGAGAGGAGAGGAGAGGAGAGGAGAGTCCTTCCTAGAAGTCAAATTAAACAGAGAAAATACAGGATTCAAGTTCCAAATAAATCAGATAAAATGCAGAAATCAAGATCTATTGACATGGCAAATATGCCACGAAATAAGTCTAATCTTCTACTTTTGGATGTTCCCCTATATACAATTAAAAGGCAAGGGCCATGTGCTACTAGCCTACTTCACACAATAAGAGTGGTGCACACACAAATAACCCAGAACAGAATTACATCCTATGAAAAACCCGTTTCTCAGCTCAGAGTTTTTATGACATAACATGTATAATTCTTAACTTCACATAAATTTTTTATGTAATCAAAAATATGATTTAATGTAGGGACTTTAATTTCGCAATAGGCTTGATTACAGCTGTGAAACATGCAATCATAAAGAAAATAAATATCACCTGTTATGTCACTTGATCATGTTTAACAGTGTCATTTAAATGTTGGTCACTAGAGGGCTGAATCACCACAGGAAGGCTGTTCCACTGGATTACTCTGCATTTTTCAAATTGATTGCAATAATTGAGCACTCTCAATGGTGAGAGTTTTTTATGCTCATGAGCATTTTTATGGTGTAAAAAAAATACTCACTAGTCACAATGGTGAGGAAAATCAAAATGGGAAAGAAATGCTCATGAGCATTTATCAAAAAGCTCAAAACTTGAGCTTTTTTTCGGATGAACAGTAGTAGAGGTGGGCCCCACACGCGTCAGACCCACTTAAAAAATTCTGCTGCCTTCCCCATCAAAACGACGCGTTTTGATGAAGCTTCCTCAAAGGCAATCCTCAAAACGCGTCGTTTTGAGTAGCCAAAAAAAAAAAATAGGTGGCTGACGCGTGCAGGAGGTTGGCGAATGGGGATGAGACGCGTGGCAGGTGTGCAGCAGTAGCCAATCAGGTTGAACTAGCCGTTTTACAACGGTTAGTTTTGTATTTTGTAATTTCTGAAAAAAATATTTTGTAAAAAAAAAAAAAAAAATACCAACGGCCATAAAATTAAATTCTCTACAAATAGACATGTATTTTGATATATTTTGATATAATTTCCTAAACACTTAAAAATCCTCCAAAATTTTATTTTCTTAAAAGTATTTGAAATTTGTAGAAGAATATTGTTGTTGCAATTAATCCATATTAAGGTAAAAAAAAAAATTTTAATTTTTATTATCAGTTTTACAATATAAGTAGTATATATGTGATTTTTTAAAAAAAAAAAAAAATTGTAGGCCATGTAATTTTTTGCAATATGTAATTATTAACAAAGTTGTTTATATTTTGTCCATAAATTTCTATATTTGTAGTTATTAAAGTGTTGTTGCAATTAATGGTAAATTTTTGTTGCTATATATAAACGTATTTTAGTATTTACTTAATAAAATTAGTATATATGTAAGTTTATGGAAAACAAAAATTGAAGGCCACGAAATGAAATTGCAATTATTGGCTAATTTTTGTTGCTATATATAAATGTAGTTACATAATAAAATTAGTATATGTTTGGTTTTAATAAGTACATGTAGTTATGTGTTAAAATTAGTATATATGTTATTTTGTGGAGAAAAATTAAATATTGTATGGCATGTAATGTATATATGTTATTTTTGTTATTATATGTTATTTTTGTTGCTATAAAGTTGTTGATATTTTTGTTATTTTTGTTATCAAATTAATTTGTTTAATAAGTAGTATATATGTTATTTTTGTTGCTATAAAGTTGTTGATATTTTTGTTATTTTTGTTATCAAATTAATTTGTTTAATAAGTAGTACATATGTGATTTTTTGATGCAGAATCTTTGAATGGATCCAAACAACCCAAATTTCCGTCAACAATTTTCGGGTTATAGTGATGATTTCCTAACTAATCCCGAGTTTCAATTGTTCTTGCAAAGAATGGGCAATATGTCGTCCCAACCACCTCCACTGCATCAGACACCCACTGAGGTTCCCCTACAAAACCTTGCGAATGAAGATCGTACACCTGAAACTGATCTTGGTAGTAACACAATGTTCGATGAGAGCAAAGAGGAAAGCGTACCAGAGACGCCACAGTATCCTCCTCCACCAGTTCGCTTGTTGGAACCCAACCAGGTTCCTGCACGAGCTACCCGTGTTTGGTCTGTGGCGGAAGATGAAGCTCTAATTGGGTTGTACTTGCAGATTAGCGAGGATGCTATTAAAAGTACAAGCCAAAAAGCAACTACCCTATGGCGCAATGTACACGAAGCATACCAAACTTGCATACGCAGAAGCCGCATATAATTCCGCCAAGGCCTATTAAGAGTCTGACGTCGCATTGGAGAAGGTTGGCAGCGGACACACTGCAATGGATATCTTGCTATGATGAAGCAGGTAGACTCCCGGAGGGAGGGAGTGGTTACAATGAAGCTGATCGTATGAAAAGTGCGGCGAAGCTTTTTCATGTCGCCCAAGGTCGCAATTTCACTTTTCCTCACGCGGTTGAAATGCTTAACAAGGACCCAAAGTGGAGACCAAAGCTAAGATGGTCAATGTCCTTGAAGGAAAGAAAAGCCGCTTGTGATGCTGAGGAAGAAGGTAGTGCTGGAAGTGGGAAGAGGTCCAGAGGTGATGTAGAGGCGGATACCCCTACAGATGGTTTTTCATCTGGCGGTTTACAGCGACCCGAGGGTGTCAAGAAGGCAAAGGCGAAGCGTATAGGGAAAGCAGTACCAACAGAAAGTGGTTCGTCTGAGCTTAGCGAACGAATGAAGGAATTCGCTTTAGTTCGCGAGAGGGAAGCCATACTGAAAGAAGAGAGGATCAAAATTGAAAAAGACAAGGAACAGAGGAAAAGGGAGGAACTTGTTGATGAACTCTTCACGTATCAAGTAACTATATTAATACGAGATGTATTCCAGACCATCATCAAGCTCAAGTTCAAGATCATCTTCTTCAAATACTGAAGAATATGACCAACTTGTTGATGAACTCTTCACATACCAACCCCCATCTGTCCTCATGCCCCAAACACAATCCCAACACTCTTCTAAAAAACCTAGAGGGGGTACGAATAGAAGAGATAGGGAAATTGGACATGCCAGGTTGTTTAATGATTACTTTTCCGATAATCCTGTGTACAACACCACCCAATTTAGAAGAAGATTTCGTATGCAACGACCTTTGTTTGTACGTATAATGAACAAGGTCGTTGAAGGTGATGTTTACTTCCAGCAGCGTAGGGATGCAGCTGGAAGGTTAGGTTTATCACCTCTGCAAAAATGTACAGCGGCGATAAGAATGTTAGGCTATGGCATGGCTGCGGACGCCGTGGATGAATACGTTCGGATCAGTGAGTCAACCGCTCGAGTTGCCCTTCAACGTTTTTGTACTGGTGTCATTGCGCAGTTCGGAACCGAGTACATGCGAAACCCTACAACTGATGAATTGGCCAGAATACTGCATCAAAATGAACTGCGTGGTTTTCCAGGCATGATAGGCAGCATTGATTGCATGCATTGGGAATGGAAGAACTGTCCAACGGCATGGAAAGCGCAGTACGCCGGTAGGAACAAGAAAGCAACGCTAATACTGGAAGCCGTTGCAGATCAGGATTTATGGATATGGCATTCCTTCTTTGGGATTCCTGGATCTTGTAATGACCTAAATGTCTTATACCGTTCCCCAGTGTTCGATGAGGTTCTGCATGGTCGAACTCCTCCGGTAAATTTTACCGTTAACGGCCATGAATACAACATGGCATATTACTTAGCCGACGGTATTTATCCGAAGTGGGCAACTTTTGTTCAGGGTATCACAACCCCTCAACTTCAAAAAGATAAATTGTTCGCTTACCACCAGACTGCTGCTCGAAAGGACGTTGAAAGAGCATTCGGTGTTTTGCAAGCTCGATTTGCAATAATACGAAAACCGTCACTGGCGTACGATGAGGACATACTGCGAGACATAATGAAAGCATGTATCATTATGCACAACATGATTGTTGAAGATGAGCGCCACAACTACACTCGAGCCGAAGTTCTAAGAGCCTTCTTCGAAGAAGAACAACAAGAATCAACACCAGCATCAACATCTACAACGCCACCGTTTGAATTCAACGTAGGCCGACCTACAAACTTTGACTTCAACGCATTTCTACAGCGAAAAGCTTCCCTCCGTGACAGAGAAATTCATCTATCTCTGAAACGTGATTTAGTCGAACATATTTGGCAACGATACGGGCCACGTAATTAGGGAGAAATTAGACGACTTAAATAAAGCCAAGTACTATGGCGTAGCCACTTTTACGTACGCAGCCGAGTTAATTTTTAGTTGTTGTGTTTATTTTATTTCCTATGTTTAATTGCGCATGACGTTGCAAATGTAATTGTTCTCTAGTATTGTACCGCTTTTAAAATAAATAAAAACATTTAACAAATTATGAGTTTTTTTTTACAATTTTTTTATATAACGTACTTAATTTTACGACAAATTTTAACAATAAAAAAGACAAAAATAAAAAAAATAAGTTACACAAATTTAAACTAGTTTTTATTTATTTGGAGTAACATTGTTAAAATATAAATGAAATAAATAAATAAAGAAGTGTTGTGTAGGAGAGAGAAAGTTATGGTGGGGTATTGAAAAAGTAAGAGAGAGATAGTGGTGGGTGAGCATTTTTTTTGCTCACCATTGGGAGAGGAAATGTGGAAAAAATTTGCCCATGAGCAAAATTGATTTGTTGAGAGAGAAAGTGAGTAGAGAGAGAGTGGGTGAGCATTTTTTTTGCTCACCATTGAGAGTGGTCTTATATTAAACCAAAACATAAAGGATTTATCATAAGTTGAGAAAAATTAAAGATATATTAACAGCACTGCACACATAACTGAGCTAGTGAGCTATAAACAACTATAAAACCAATAATAATTCATCACATTGCTCTTCCTTGTTTCAACAAAGGTTTCACACTAATTCACAGGGGTCTTTTCCCATCAGTTTGGTCTATTTTCAGTTATCTGGCATTCGTTCTTCAAAGTAGCTAATATGGCAATTTGCGATATCAAATACGTATCCAACAAAATTACTAAAAGGAAACTGAAATCCCTATTCAACCTTCACTTGATCATCTGAACAATAACTTCCAAAACCATCAATCCCCACAGCTAATCGCCTAAACTGAAGGTACTAACCGTAAATTAAAGTAAGTAGTTCCGCAATTCCTTGCATATGTCAGTTACAATTACATACCTGAAGTGAAAATTCTAGAATTGCTAAGCTACTTCTAGCGTCACAGGGAAGGTGATCAGATATAGTTTGTGCTATCTGATTTCCGGGAATGATGATATTCTAAGTCAGACTACAGTTGTTGGACAATATCTGATCGGAAAAATTAGAAATAATAATCCCAACTTTCATCGATTTTGGCAGAATAATCCAAACTTTGAATTATACTTAAATAATCCTAACTTTGGGGGGTCTTCTTTTTCTACAATCCTAAATACCGGTTGCCGGTTGAATGGGTTAATTTTATTTATTTTTTTTAAAGTGATACGTGTTACAAATTAATTGGTTAAAAAAATATTTAAAAAAAAACCAAAATTTAAAAAATTTAAAAAAATCTAAAAACCATGACCCCAACCACCAGCCACGAAACCGGCCAGCCACCCCCATGACGCCGTCCGGCCGCCCAAATGCGCCAGTTTTCCCCTAGAAAACCTCTCGCCACCGTTGCCAACCATTTCCCCTCCTTCCGCCGGCTAATTGGCCTCGGCCAAAAAATCCGATTTCATTCTCACTCCTCTCAATTGACACCAGCCACGAAATCCGGCCACCTATACGCCGGCCGGTCGTGAACCTCCCTTGAACCCCTCCCCTACTCTTGAAAACACCTAAACCTCCCCTGAAACCTCCGTTTTCGTGGCTGTGATTGTGGGTTTCGATGGCTGCGTGGGGAATGGGAGGGGGGAAAACGGCGACGCAAGGGGTGGGGGAGACGCGGCGTTCCGGCGAGGGGAGGGGTAGCGGACTGCGGTGGTAGTGTAGGTTAGGGTGGGACGGTGGGGGAGGGGAGGTTAGCTGGGTTTTTCTGATTTTGTGGTTTTTTTTCTGTTTCTGTTTTTTTTTTTTTTTTTTATAATTTTTAGACCAATTAGGATTGACACGTGTCAAGTGACCTGATATAGTAGGTCATTAACTTTTGTTAACCGGTTAGAGATTGAAGAAAAAGAAAAACCCCTAAAGTTCGGATTATTCCAGAATAATCCAAAGTTGGGATTATTGTAGCAAATTTGATGAAAGTTAGGATTATTATTTCTAATTTTCACATAATATTGATGATTTTGATATTTTCTGTGAACATGATTAAAATTTTAACAAAAGGGTCCAAGCACATTTCTCATTATTCCAGTTCTATAGAAAGCCCAAGAAGGTAGAACTTCTTCAGGATTCTTTGCACCTATGTAATTTCTTTTATGATTAGGTTACTAGCAGGGGCAAGAAGTGACAAACCAAACAACAATTGGAAGACTGAAAGAGAATCTTCAGCTTCCTAGTAGTGCCTGCCTAGTATTACTCATTTAGATCTTGTTGTGTCGCACTGAAGAGCAACATCCTTGGTTTAAGAGAACATCAGGAACAAGTTGATTTCTGTATAAAACTAATTTTGAAAAAAAATTGTCATTCAAAATTTTCTGGTGTTTAAGATGACAGAATCTACCTTCTGGACTACCTAAAATACACCACAGCTACATGTGTTGACTTCATTATGAATCATCCAGACAAAATTTTTAAGTCAGGTGGGGATATCACCAAACTATATAAGAAACAAAAGATGAGAAGTTTTGAAAGAAATTTCGAGAAAGTTGCCTACACCATTATAACAATTAGGCTACACTTGAGTAAAATCAGAATTCCAACTTGGAAAAGTTAATCATGGTTGTTAATTGTGAAGGGTTGTTGATTTATACCTTAAGGCTGCTCCGGAACCAAAGAGAGCTTCTTCCTCAAAAACTTCAGCAGGGCAAAGCTCATTAACTCATATCTTTATCGCTGCTGTAGAACCAGACCCCCTTCTTTGTCTTCTTTGCCAAATCCAAGGAGATCTCTTGTCTGGAACCAGCTTCTTCTCCCCTCGGCTCAAACACTTTTCCTGAGTTTTACTTTAGTAGTAGTAAAAGAAAAAAAAAACAAACAAACAAAAAAACCACACTTAAGTTAACACTTCACATGCTGCGAGGCTGCTGGTGCTAGCAGGCGTGGCATGTGCTACTAGCTAGGCATGCCAGCACCTCTGCGTGCAATTCCAAGGCCTTGGTGCCTAGCAAGCCTAGCCCTGTGGCTTGGATGCTAGGCACTCGGCTGGTTGGTGGGCTACTATTTTGTGTTTTTGGGCCGTTTTAATTATTTTATTTAATTATTTTAATGAGGCTAGGCCTCGGTTCCTCCAGCTCTTGCAAAATAAATTGGCAAAATTTGGGTTAATCGACTTAATTAATCGGATTTATTAGGTTGGATGTGGAATTTAGTGGGAGATTCGTTAATTACTTGAGCTATTTTTATTGCGTTTAATCACATAATTGGTTAACAACTTTGACTAGTTTTAATTAGGCGCATTAATTGGATTAACCACCTAAGTTAGTTACTAGTTTGCGCGTGTTATGCATTGCTACTTGTTTTTCATTGTAAAATGCATGGCCATTCACATATAGTGAATGGATGAATGGAATGTATATTCTATCACAGGTTTTATGAAAATGGTAACTAGTGGGGCCCAATTAGAATAGTAAATACGGACTGCGATCCGTTATGTATTTTTGTAAATCTAAATATGGTCTGCGTACCGTTGTGTATTTTTATACCTTAATATTTAGATTAGTCCTAGTCATAATTACTAGTAATTGCATATTTGGTGGAGATGTCTCGAAGACGGCGTTTCTAAGAAGACAAGCCAAGAGGATGCAACGAAGACCCTTGAAGACTCGAAGACTCAAGGGGTCATGCTAGTTGCCAAATGCATCGTTTACTTATGTTTTCTATATATAATTATGCTTATATATATGAATGATATGTTAGATGCATGTTTAGGATTTCGAATGTTGCGATGATTAATTAAGTTCACTTAAATCAACCAACATAGAAACCCCAGGTCCCTATAATATTGAGCCAAATTTGCCATTCCAAGAACAACACTTACCAAACTAATGCGCGTAGTGATGGGCTACGCCAAAGCGAGGCATCACTACTTCACTAGGAACGTAAGGTATACTAGGTATACAACTTGGTCTTGGTTAAGCTCAACGATATCAATAAGGAGTCCTTAGATTTCGTGGCAATGTAGATAAAATGTCAAGGAAGCATTAGATGCGACATTTTATTAACCAAGAGTAGCTTAGAGCTATTAGCAATTGGATTGCTTACCTTAAAATATTAAGTGTTAAGACAAGCCAAAGAATGCTTAATCACCTTTTGATTTTTGGGATCTTGGAATTGTTTTATTCTCGCCTAAAAGGGACAAATTTTAATGCGTGGATAAGACGCATAATAAGATTGAAAATTTGCATGTATGCTTTAAATTTCAAACGTATTATGTTAGTATCTTGATAAATGGTTATACATTGCACTTATATTTGTAGAATTCTAAATCAAATTATATTGTTTTCAATGATTGATAAAAGGAAATCTTTGAGGATGGTTCTCAAAGAAAGGAAAAGCATTTCTAAAATACAACTCTCATAGATGACTTTTATAACTAAAGTCCGAAAGTACGGTTGGATATCATGTATTCAAATTACTAGGTAGTTTTGATGAACATGAAGTATTGAGTTGAAAAACTCAAATTGTCAATAGTTGACAACCAACATATCTTTTCGCTTCATACACTAATGAGTAGGACTTATTGATGTAGTAATTCAAGCATGAATTAAAGAAAGATGGAACTTTGTTTTACGGCGCATTAGATGTTTAATTATCCCTAACAAAGTATAAAAGTCAAAACACTTAAAGAAATGGTTCTTAAAGTTATGAGATGATGTATGATAAGAAATATAGGAAACAAGGAACAAAGAAAAGGGATAAGATTCCTATTCTACCCATGAGTTCATGTTATTGTAGTTAACTTAGCAACTTGTTATCTTCACAAGTATCGAATACTGCTTGAGTGTTCCACTTTGAAAGTGACCTCAAACCATTGAAGTTAAGTTAAGTTATTGACTTACAAGCTTAGAATGAAGCAAGAAGTGCTACATCAGTTGTAAGGT